GGCATCTTCTACTGCTTTTCCCAGGCCATTAGCAGACCTGGATCAAAAGTGCAGCTGCCAGGACACAAATCAGCGCCCATATGAAATACTGGTATCACAGGTGGCAGTTCTACCCACTATACCACAATCTCAGCCTCTTGAGTTTCTTATATATTCTGAAAATTAATCCTTATCAGATGAAGTTTGCAAACATATTCTCCTGTTCTATAGGTTGCCTGTTTACTCTGATTATCTCCTCTGCTGTATAGAACCTCTTAGATATAATCCCACTTCTCAAGTTTTACTTTTGTTGTCTGTGCTTTTGGGGTCTTATCCAAAAACCTTTGCCCAGCCCAATATCCTAATGCATTCCTCCTGTATTTTCTTTCAATATTTGTAAAGTTTGGGGTGTTACAGTTAAGTCTTTGATCCATTTTAAATTAATTTTTATATTTGGTGAGAGATGTGTCCTACTTTGCTTCTTCTGTATATTGATACCCAGTTTTCTCAGTACCATTTATTGAAGAGACTTTTGTCTTTCTCAAATGTATGTTCCTGCCACCTTTGCTGAAAATTTGGTAAACCGTAAATACGCAGATTTATTTCTGGGCTCTATGCTCCTGTTCCATTGGTCCATGTCTCTGTTTTTATTCCAGCACCAAATTGCTTTGTTTATATTGCTTTGTAGTATGTTTCCAGGTTAGGTATTAATAATGCATCTATCTTTGTTCTTTTTACTCAGGATCATTTTGGCTATTTGGTGGTATTAGCAGTTCCATACAAATTTTAATGGAGTTTTCTATTTCTTTGAAGAGTATCATTGGTAGTTTTATGGGAATTGCATTGATTCTACAGATCACTTTGGGGAGTATGGATGTTCTAATATTTTCAATTCTTCTAATCCACAAACTTAGGATGCAAGAAAATTAATTCTAATTATGATCAGGTAGAGTCTCTCTGTTGAGATTTGATTATTAATCACAGAAAAGGTTGTTAGCCAGTAACAATGGGCAAATATTGAAAGACACAGACAGAAAAGCAGAAAATAGAGGCCATGAGATCAACAAGCTCATTATGAATTCCAGTAAATAAAAACTAGAGAGAAGAAAAGGGTGAGGTAATAAGTAATTAGTTGTGGAAATAATGATTTCTTACATCTGATAGATACACATATAACTTGTTCACCATAGTTTACTTGAACCCTGAGTTGCCAAGAGTACATGCTACTTTAATAAAATATGAATTAGGCATCTACAATGTGCCAAATACAACATGAGTTCTAGTGGTGAAGAATACAAATCCAGTTTTATTCTCATGGAGCTTTGAATCTATCTTAGAAGCTAAGAATCTAAGCTTAGGATCTAAGATGTGGAAGACTGACACTGAAGAAGTAAAAACAATCATTATAAATATTATAAAGGAGTAGCATAAGCTCTCCTAGAAACACATAGCATCTAGAACTATATTTTTAGTAAACTACTTTTTTAAAAAAAGATTTACTTTACGTATTAGAAAGGCAGAGTGACAGAGAAAGGGAAAGACAGAGAAAGAGAGGAGGATTTTACATCTGCTGGTTCATTACCCAAATGGCCGCAGCAGTCAGGGCTGAGCCAGGCTGAAGCCAGAATCCAGGAACTCCAGCCACATCTCTTACACAGGTGGCAGGGGCCTAACCATTTGAGTCATCCTCCACTGCTTGCCCAGGTGCATTGGCAGGGAGCTAGATGGGACTTGAACCAGAACTCCAATAATGGATGTCACTATCGTAGATGGCAGCTTAACCCACTGCCTTAAAACAACAGCATCTGCACTATTTTTTTTAAGGTGCCCAACTATATCTCTTTTTCTGAGTTCTAAGAGGCCTAATTTAAATTTGAGAGGGATGTCATCTTATTTTCATCTGCAATTGTACATGAAAAGACTACTACCCAGTGCCTCCAAAATCATCAAGATACACAAACAGAAAGAAATAAAATTGTAAAACCTAAATAAATATTACAGTCATAAAACACTACACTAATTTAGACACAGTTAAATGCAGTTTTTACTATCACTACAAGTTAACACACACACATGGTATTTACAATGTGCCAGTTTTCAAAGAGCTTTATCAACAATTCATATAATCCTCACAACAATCATATACAATAAGAACTATTATTTCAAGGCTTGGTTGTGTTAGTGGTAGCAGAATATAATAAAATATAATTGAGTAAATATTAAATATCTTCCAGGTTCAAGACGATGTTTGAGGAACTGAGAAGGCTACAAATATGGTAAAAATGAATCTGTTCCTGTAAACAGTTAATACTCCAAAAGAGAAAGCAATTTATCTAAAATTGCAACAAAGTAAGTCAATGTGCTAGACAAGAATATCTGTGTTTAACGTTGGAGGCAAAAAAATTCTAAAAGATAACTATCCTCATCCAGAGTCCTATTAATAGCTAGCTGATATACAATACAGAGGGAAATAGTAAATGCTAAAGGAAGGTAAAAAACTTTGGAAACAAATACTTCACTGTCTTGATTTTGAGAAAATAACTCTTTTCCCAAGAAAGTATGGCATGTGAAGTATCTGGAGACAAGCTAAATGTAAAGTTTTTGCAATTGGTATGCTAGAAATACTGAGAATGGAGATATCAATGTGAATTATACAGAGGGAAACTTTATGAAGTCAATAGTTGTGTAGGATTCAGGTAGGTGGGGAATTATTACAGTTTAAAAGGAGCATGCATGAGACCCAGGGGCCAAGAGCAGGAGTTTCCAAGTGGAAGATAAAAGGAAGCAATCTTGCAAGAGCAAAGGGTATTTACTGGCGCCAGGCTGCTGAGCACAATGGAGCCAGATTAACAGTTAGTACAGGGTTGGTAGCAACCAAAGGCCAACATGAAGTAACAGAGAAGCTGCAACTTAAGTATGATGATACTATAACTCTCAAACAAAATTTACAATAGGTATGCAAAGTATTAATGATGAAAGAGAACAAAAAGCAATGGATGAAATGACCAGAAGATAGGATAAATAACTTTTCTCTACCAATCTACTTGGGCATTGTTAGGACAGGTACTCAATTTGAAAGCAAGGAAAAGAAGATGAGAAAGAATTGCTTTAAGGCAGATGTTTTCAGATAAGTTACTAAAAATGAAAAACTGTTGGAAGGGTTACTCTATCAAACTAGTTTAACTCCCACAGCTGCCTAAAGAAACCTACATTAGCACCTTAGGTTAAAACCTAATTTCTCACCTTCTTCCTGAGAACTTCAAATTTGCAATGCATACCTGTCTTTGGCCTAATTGTCAGGGTAGTCACATAAATTACCTTCTTTGCTCTAGCCCAATCAAATTCATTGTACTATATTGGGAATGTGTTGTATCATGATTGCAGTGCAATAATTCAATGTGTAGTCCCTGGTATTTTTTTTTTTTTTGACAGGCAGAGTGGACAGTGAGAGAGAGAGAGAGAGAGAGAGAGAAAGGTCTTCCTTTGCTGTTGGTTCACCCTCCAATGGCCTCCACAGCTAGCCTGCTACGGCCGGCGCACCGCGCTGATCCGATGGCAGGAGCCAGGTGCTTCTCCTGGTCTCCCATGGGGTGCAGGGCCCAAGCACTTGGGTCATCCTCCACTGCACTCCCTGGCCACAGCAGAGAGCTGGCCTGGAAGAGGGGCAACCGGGACAGAATCCGGCGCCCCGACCGGGACTAGAACCCGCTGTGTGGCGCCTCAAGGCGGAGGATTAGCCTATTGAGCCGCGGGGCCGGCCAGTCCTTGGTATCTTTCATCTGAACATGAGTAGTAGTAAGGTTCAAATAAGTCATGAGGAGCATGACTGACAGTATACCCACATTTCAGTTCAGTACTTTCTTTTAAATTAATTGCTTTTAATTTAGGGAAATGGTAAATTCCATTAACAACTCTATATTCATTTCTGTCATGTGGAATAATCAACGTGATTTTCACATAAAATCTGAAGTAATGGGATCTTTTAATTAACCCCTCCTGTTTGCATAATTACTCTTTCATTTGCATAATTACCACAGACCTTCCTGACTCAAGAGATCAGACTTAGTACCAATATCCTCTCATATATGAGTACATATTCTGGTTCAAGGACAGGTGTGAAAACATTTCTGAAGTTTTTCGCTTTATGTAGGCTATTTCTTTACTGATAGTTTCAATAATTTTTATCAATCCTTTTCAGCAATCAGAAATAATTGATCCAATCTTAACCAGTGAGAAGAACGCTTCCAACTCTGGTTAAGGGTAAAAGTTTACTTGCCTTTCCAAATTTTTGTAAAGGCTCAATGTCACTTAAGCCCAGAGTTTTCCAATCTATTAACAGCAGATAATCTGGGCTGCAGCACACAAATTCATTCTCGAGTAATGGCTCTTATTTCCAGAATCTAAAAGGCAAAGGGTGATGGTATTTTTCTTTACAGGTGATACAATATTTTTATCTCTATAACCTGGCATCTAATTAGGAGGCAAACTGAGGCATAAGGAACACTAATTTTGGGATCAATTTTAGGCTTTATGATTTTTTTTTCAAGTCTCAGACAATTCACTCTTTTGTTTCTCATTTTCTAATTCTGCAAAATGGAGTAATCACAGCTTCAAAGTTTTATGGAGGTGTAATGACAGTTTATGTAAAAACACAACACAGTCATACCCACTCATTAGGCAACTAGAGAACCACTTACTCCTACAGGTCTAGATGCATAGATTTGCTGAACAATCCAGGACTCATTATAATGACCAGAGGAGAAAATACTTGAACCGGGAGCACCGGGTAAAACCCAGGAAGCATGAGCCAATCATCTTTCTGCAAGCCTTGTAATCTTGCGGGGGCTAACACTGCCAAATCTCAGGGTTACTCTTATAATTCACTCACACGAGGAACTTGAAAAGTTCTCACGTTTTGCCCTCTGGCCCTCTCGGAAACTCAGGCTCATAATTAATTATGTGCACCTCATTAAAGCTGTTTCAAAGACTAAGTGTAAAAAGAGAGTAAAACACAAACCCACCAGAGGGGTCTAACAAAAAGAATACAGAGACGGGAGCCACCTTTGGCATTCCAGGGCGGAGTCCACCACTTGAGAGAAAACAAACGCGGAGGTAAATTCTGGTCCTGCAACATAATAAAACTCTGGCTCCTAAGGAACTCGAACAACCAGCTTTTGCTCGGGCTTTGGCAGGCCGGAAATGGGCGGGCCCGATTGTTCGGCTTCCGGGCGGAGGCGGTGGGCCTGCCTCCTGTCACGCCCGCAGCCGACCGCCGCGCCCGCGCCTGCGCAAGGGGAGGAACGTGTCCCGGGGCCATTTCCGGGGGCGGGGAGCGTAGGCGAGCGACTGAGTCCGCTTTTCTTTTCAGTGCGGCCAACGCGGAAGTTCGGGAACTGAGGCTTTGGCAGGTGCTTTGGCAGGTACTGGGGTCCCTGCGCGGCGTCGGGAGCCAAATGGACGCGCGCGCGGCGGTGGTTGACGGTCCGGACGGTCCCCGGGAGCGACGAGGCTTGGGTGAGGCTGGCAGGCAGCAGCAGAACCACCATGTGCAGCCTCAGTCTGGGACAAACGGGCTTCCCAAACCATCGTACTGGTTGGATCTCTGGCTCTTCATCCTTCTAGATGTGGCGTTGTTTTTATTCGTGTATCTTTTGCCCTGGTGAGTGTCCTGAATTCAGAGTGGAAGTGGTACGACGCTTAGAGGCCATTTGCTCCAAGGCTGTGGGCTGGTGTGGGAGGGGAGGCCACTGCAGAGTTAGTGCATCTACGTCCCAGAGTGCAGGGCCGGAGCGCGGCGGAATCGGGAGGGTGGCCAGCCGGGAGGAGAACTACGGGAAATGTCTGTCCTTGGCACCTCAGCGACAGTCCCCAGAGCCGTTCGGAGGAAGGGGCTTCGTGAGTTTGTTTTACGTTTTGGAGTGAACGCAGCTGAATTTTATTTCCTGCACCACCACAGGAGAACTAACGAAGTTACTGAGCATCTCGGGGTTTTATTTTATCATCTACCGTTTGGGACCAATAGTAACCGTGTAGTGGGGTTTAGTGATTGAATGAGAGGTTTATATCAATGAGGTTTGCCTGTTGCTCAGTAGGATGTGCTGAGCTGAAGCTATTGTTTTTGTGCAACTGTTAGCTCCTGAGCAGTCCCAAACACGTATCCCAAACTCAGCGTGTAGAAACCTGAATTCTTCTGGCCTGATCCAACGTCATCTTTAGCCACTCAGTTGCGCCTCCCTCCTAGAAACCTGGGACTCTTGGACTTCCCTGTTTTCTTGCACACACAACCCACACATCATCTGTTCATTCTCAGAATTCTGTAGAGCCCACTTGTGAACTCCATACTCTTCATTTTCTTTGCCATTCACTCTGAAAACACTATTCTGGCAGGAAGTAAAGGAAAAGAACTAAGAGAATGGGGCAGGCGGAAGCAGAACCAGAAAAGACACAGGACTGATGATAAGGGCTTCTAGAAGAAAAACTGTGTGTGCCGCCCATTTAGCAATTAAACAGCTCTGCTGCTCTTTGGTGTTGGTCGTTCACTCATAGATTTTAATTCCTCTCAGTCATTATGCTCGTAAGGTTCTATTTGTGAAGTCCCTTCTTCATAGGCAGTTCCTGTGTTCTTTCCCTACCCATATCTGAATTTTGGCAAATATCTGAGTATCTGACTGGTTACCATTACTGATTTCTTGGGCGGTGTGTCAAATTAGAAGGCAGAGGGCTGAGTGGAGAGAATGCAGAAAGGAATGGGTATATCTGTAAAATCCTTTGTCAAATCATTTGTATTTCTCACTCTCCAACCCCTTCTTTTTTGGGGTGCTTGGCATAGAGACTAATACATACCTCAAGTACAGTGTTGTTGTTTTTTTTTGTTTCATTTTTAATGCCCCGAATTTTCAGCTCTGGTTATTAAATGGAGGCCTTACAAGAGATATTCCAGGCCCTTATTATTAGCGTATTTTACTATTATCAATATTTTGGAACAGACAAGTGACTTAAGAAAGATTTTCAGAAGTTGATATAAAGTGTTAAAATGAAAACAAAAAGTAAGTAGTGCTGACAGATACCTGGTTTTTACAGACTGGTTTGCTGATACCTAAATTAAGAAGTTGACATCTGGAGTGGAATCTGAAAATGACTACAGACTTCTTGAATAAAGAAGACGGGAATTGTGTTGCGGCAGAATTTCAGACCTCTAAGGGAACTTCTTTTCATTTTACACATCTGTTAAGTCATTTGGAAAACTACATTAAATGGATTGTAATCTCACTCACTCATACCTAAGTTCTTAAACTGGACTCTTCAGTTCATGTTTAAAAATTTTCAGACATCTGATAGTGTCACATGAGCTGAATATAAAAATGTTCATAAAATAAAAATGTCATTCCTGTAAGACTTTAAGGGTTTAATATGATACAGATAATATGAATAATAATGTGAGGTATTTAAAGTAAATTATTGAAGGAGGGAAAGATTTTGAGAGAAGTGTTCTTGGAATGCATGGACTCTATAAATAACACAAAAACTATACAGAAAATGTAAGCCCACAATGTTGGCCCTAAATACTCTTTAATTATAGATGAAGTTGGACTATTATGAAATGATGTCATAACTGATAGGTTGACAGGGTCTTGAAGTAGATAACAAATATTAGAAATTTAGCATGCATGTCCTTTTGTAAACTGAATCCTCTCCCTTAATTCCTTTTAAACTCTTGAGCTCCCTGAAATAGGATTATGCATTTCAAACCTCTTTTTTATTGTTGTTGCTTAGTGTTTGTGGCCAAAACATATTTTTATAATGTCTGTAGCTTAAATTTCAGGAAATCTGCATATTTACTCATTCAACAGTTGCTTGAGCCTTCTATTGACTAAGAATTTTATTTATTTTTAATTTGAGGCATAGTGACACAAAGAGAGCAGAGTGCCCGTATCCAATCCCATCACTCCTCAGGTGCCTCCAACAGCTGGTACTGGGCTGGGCAGAAACTCAGTTCAGGTCTCCCTTGGGGGTGGCAGGAACCCAATTACTTGAGCCATGACTGCTGCCTCTGAGAGCGTGCACTAGTGAAAAGCTGGAGTCAGGAGTTTGTATCAAACCAAGGCATTCTATTAGGGCATGTGGGTTTCCTAGCTGCTAAACCAAATACATGCTTCTATTTTTTTTTTTTTTTTAAGATGTATTTATTTGAAAGGCAGTTATAGAGAGGCAGAGAGAGAGAGGTCTTCTAACTGCTGGTTCACTCCCCAAATGGCCACAACAGCCCTGGAACTGTGCCAATCCAAAGCCAGGAGCTTGGAGCTTCTTCCAGGTCTCCTACAGAGTGCAGGGGTCCAAAGACCTGGGCCATAGCAAGAGAGCTGGATTGGGAGTGGAGCAGTCGGGACTCAAACTGTCGCCCATATGGGATGCTGGCACTGCAGGCAATAGCTTTACCCACTATGCCATAGCACAGGCCCTGCTTATATTGTTTTTAAATCTATGTTACTTAGGAAAACTTTACATTCTAGGGGTCATCAGCTAACATTTAATCAGAAGGGCTCCACTCACAAAGCAGCTACTCTAAGTACCTAAGAAGCTATTCCTAATAACCCTAAAGAAACTGTTTATAAATGGACATTTGAAATAGGCTGTTAGCACTGAAATTAGTGGCAATCAGTATGTGTGAACTGTCTAAAATACTTGGAGGTTAGATAAACTCTGTATCGTCTACCTTTCATAATGATTCTTTGAGGGAAGTCTGGAATTGATTTAACAGTTATGCCTTTACAGTGTCACATCTAAAGAAAACCTTTTATGGAAGGCACAATGGAAACATCTGAACGCTGAGTTTATCAAGCAGACTCTGAACTATTTTTGCACTGCTTACTAATAATTTTGTCTAATAAATATTTATTTCCATGGCTGAATTTGGTTTTATTGTTAACAAGTCACCTAGCAGTGGCTTGTGAGAGGATTAACAGTTCTCACATACCTCACTGTGGTTCACATACAGACTTTTAATAATCCATAATACCTTTTGAGGCTAAAATTAGCCTACTACTACGACCATCAGATGCAGATATTTTGGTGTAGCAATTAATTTTATGTGTCAGCTTAACTGAGCTAAGATTTGCCCAGTTAGCTGAAAATAAATTTCTGAGTATGTCTTAGAGGGTGTTGCTGGAAGAGATTACCATTTGAATCAGTTGACTAAGGAAGAGTTATCCTGCTCCACCCTGGTGTGGGTAGGCATCTACCAGTGCTGAGGACTTAGACCAAATCACAGATAGAGGACTGGCAAATTACCTCTCTCTGCTTGAGCTCCTGGTTCAAAGCTACACCACTGACTTTCCTGGGCAAACTGTAAGCCAGTTAGAAATTAAGAGATTTTTTATTCTGGCACAAAAATAAGTTTGTGCATAGGTATTTTTCCCCCATAATAAGCATTTTTCCATGAACCTGCTGAAGATCCCTCATACATCCTACTGGTCCTGTTTGGAAAATCATAAAACACTCAGCCCCTAAGTAGCATGGGAGTACAGGTAGGGACTTCTGATGTTTAGCATCAATGCAGACATTTAATACAGATTATCCTCAAGGACAAAGTCATCAAACCAGGATCAGTGGACCAAATCTGGTTGCTGCCTGTTTGTATATAGAAAACATGCAAGCTACTGGTACTTGTTAGGTTTGAAAACAAAAAAGACTTTCATGACATGAAAATTATATGCAATTGGGATTTCAATGTTGATAAAGCTTTATTGGAAAACAGTTATGCCCCACTGTTCTACATATTATTATGGCTGCTTTCATATTACAAAAGCAGAGTTGAGTAGCTGTTACAGAGAGAGAATGGTCTTAAATTATTTGCTATCTGTAGTTTTGTGGAAAATTTGCTCAATCCTTCTCTACAACTCTGCTTTAGACCTGTTTGCTATTTCACTTCTAGGAACTGCCTATGATAACATTTTATTAACAGTGAAATTCCAAGTTCCCTTAAATCTTAAATTGGCTTATATTTCCCATTCACAGTTCATGAATGCAAAGAAAATTCTAACCATATTGACCTAAAATTCAGTTTATCTTCAAAATTTGTTGAACCAGAAGGTGATTTCACATGAAAATACATCTGAAAATAATTATTTTAAACTTTACAATTTTTATTGTATTATTTTAAAAAAGCTTATAATAACCAGATGCAAACATATATAAAAATAAATAGGCACTCTAGAAGTAAAAATTTTACATGTGAATGACTAGTAAATATATGTATACAATGTATGGAGTGTTGAGTTGCCATAAAATGTTTTAGTTGGACAGGACTCGGGAGGTTTCAACCAGAGAGTACATTAAAATAGGCAAAAACTGGAACTACCTGATGTTTACAACTCAATTGTGAGTTGAAAGAACTGTATGTAACTGCTGTTAAATACAGAAATTAGTTTAAATGTTTGAAATATGTTTCCAACTGGACATTTTGACCACATAGAAAGTAAAAATTCACAAAGTTTTTGAAAGCTATTGACAATACCTGAAGCTCATTTTTCTAGTATTTTACAAAGTTATAAAAGCAGTGATTAAAATATTGACATTTCAAATAAAATTTCACAAGATATACACTATTTACAAATCCTTCATACTAAAAAATTGTTAAAAATAGGCTTTCTTAAAAGATGAAATTTAGTTAGTATTCAAGTACTTCTAAATTAAAAGATTATAAAGTCATAATCACCAACCATTATAGTCAGAAAAAGCCAGTAAAAACTTCTCTACAGATTTCAGAATATAAAATCTGGCCAACATTTGGTAAGAGTGAAGTTAGACATTTATAAGCAATTATTTTCTAATTAGTGAAAAGTATTCATTTTTAATCATTTACATTTTGGAATATTTTAACAATTTATGGAATCAGGTAAGAGATTAATCATTTGTTGAATTAGATTTATTCATGAAGTTTATTTAGGAATGTAAAGAAAATTTTAATTCTGTGATTCTCAGTTCTTGAGTAGATATTTTAAAACTATTCTAAACCACAGTTAGTTTACCAGCTTAGTACAAAGGAAATGACAACTAATGAAACAAGGCAATTAAAGTAACTTATTTTCACTGGTAAGGTTACCATAATAAAGAAAACTTTTAATTTCAAAAGAAAGCCCTCTCCAAGAAATTAGCTGGGGTAGATTCACTGTTTAAGGGAAAGGAAAGGATACAGAAATTAATTAAACAGTCAATAAAATTAAACACCCTATATGAAGGTGAAGATTTAACCTGGAAACCTGGATAGATTTTCAGATTCAAGCCAAGTGGATATCAACCTTTAAGCACATAAGATTACAGCCAGAGAAAATGTAGGCAGTGACATTCCCAATAAGAGGGACCAAGGTTAATTCCTAACACTGGTTATTAGCAGTCCAAAGTAAACCAAACCAAAATATAAAAACTTTTCACATTTCATATAAAATTAGAAAAATTTGTAACAAGACAAATAAATACACTAAACTTTAAGTATTTTAATCTTTTAGCTTATATAGCTTAAGTATTTATGAAAATATAGTCAAAGGCCTAATTTATGTTAAGCAGATTCTGAAAATAAAAAAGTTCTAAGAGCTAAATTGAGTTCTATCTGAGCTCCAAGGTTTGATTTAAAACTGTTCATCATTAAGGCATTTTTTTCAAAATGCTATAAAATCCATGGGTCAGTTTTTTTAAAGACACTTAAAGGGATCTCACCTAGTAGACTATCACAGAAGTCAAAAACAAACGGGTGAAGCCATTTGTTACCCATTAAAAAGTGCTTCTTCATAAAACAAAGACTACTTTGACTAGACAAAGTATCTCCTGGTATTTTTCAGTTAGCATAGTTAACCAATCGACATACATTGAGCACTAATTAATACTTAACAGGCTACTAGCCACATAATAGAGGGGCAAATTTAATTTTTGTTCAACTGTAGCTATGGAAAATGAGTTGGTACATATTTCCCAATTTTCTATTGTTCCAAGGCATGCCAAAAAAGTCTCTATAATATTCAACAAATATATTCACAAAATAACAAAGTTAAAATGATAAATGACTAAAAATGCCATGAGTCTTAATTTTATCCATCTCTAGGTTTGGTCAGTAGGTTCCTATTTTATTTTAACGGCCTGTGAGGAATATAAGCTTCCCAATTTCATCATTTACCTATTACAGTGTACGCTAGGTTTATATCTTTGTTCAGAAGGGCAGCCTGAACCAAGACTATTATGTGACACAGCTCCTAACCCTCTTTCACTCTCAGATAGTGAGTTATCATTACAAAAGCCACTGCTCTCTGGAAAGCAGAGCTTGGGCCTCTGATGATATTTCAGTCTATATGTATCAGTCATGCAGCTATCAACGGAAAAATATGTAGTTAAAGACATTTTCTCATTTGGACATGTAGAACTGGTGTCTAGTTCAGGTTGGCAAAATCCATCAACAACTGGGCCTGTGCTTGCCTGAAAATCTTTAGTTGAAGAGTTGGAAGAGTAGTTGGGTATGTTGCCAACTTGGTCTTTCGCTTGGAATGTTTCTTTACAACTTCCGTCATTCATAAATGTATTTATTTCTGCCCTTGGCTCTTGAGCTGTACTTAAATTGTGCTTCAGATTAGAAGAATTAGCTTTAAGCATCTCTGTAAGTTTAACATCAGGTATGGAGTCATTTTTCTCTGATTGTGGCACACTGGTTATAGTATATTTCTTTGGTGGCAAAGGGGGTGGTAAATTCTGGTAAAGTTTTGGCATCTGACAACCTTCAGCTCTGCAGGTTGACTGAATTACATGTTCTCTTGATAGAGAATTCTCAGAATAACCTTGTTGCATCATATTTTGCTGCTGGATGAGAGAAGGGGTTTCTGGCTTTAACCCAACAGTTCTCATGTGTGAAAACCACAATGAAGATGGTGACATTATTTCATTATGGTTTACTCTCTTCCCAGAAGTAGAATTACCATCAACAGGAAAAGGGAAATCTGTTCTCTCAGAATTTTCTAAATGAAGCCACTCATTTAGTTTTTCAAGCTTCTGTTCTTCTGATTGTTGGAGGTGCTCTCTTGTAGTAGTATGATCCTTGAGTATTTGCGAGCTGGATGAAGGAAGTAACTTTCCATTGGTTTCATGGATATGTGGCCTGACATAGGAAATAAAAACAAAGCTAAGACACCATGGACAAAAATATTGTCCTACAGTTTGATTTCCCCAGTATATAACTTGTATTATTTTTGTAACATGACAGAAATGGGAAGTATATTTTGTAATCATTAATGTTTTCAACTGCCTTCTAACCTAAAATTTTTTGCTTACCAAACATGCATCATTACCACAATCATATTTCTAAAAATTTAAAAAAGTGATTTCAACTTAAAAACACTGAGGTTACATTTATTTGTGACAAAGTATAGTATAAAATATGAGGAAAATGTTACAGGCAAACAACTCAATATCCTAAAACACTTCCTCACTGACATTCTAAAGCTTAAAGGTAACAGAGATAGAGATATTAAAATCCTTGTTAAATAACAGTATAAGGATGGTATAATAATTTAAAATAGGAGCCAGCTGTGGCATAGCAGGTAAAGCTGCCGCCTGCAGTGCCAGCATCCCATATGGGTGCCGGTTCAAGTCCTGACTGCTCCACTTCTGATCCAGCTCTCTTTGATGGCCTGGGAAAGCTGTAGAAGATGGCCCAAATACTACATGTGTATATATAAGTACAGGAAAAGTCATAGTTTATATAAAGCTATATATAAATATGTGTGATTTCAGGCATCCACTTGGGATCTTAAGATACCTTCTGCAGATAAGAGGGCTACTGTGCCACCTTCACAAAAATGCTGAAAAGATTAAAACAATCATGTATCATATCTGGCACTTTGTAAGCCTCTATCCTTAGATGAACATCCTATTAATGATCCCCAGTAAGATAAGCATTACTAAAAGTTCATGGAAAATACAATCAAAACATAAGTTTATTTTGGCCCAAAAACATTTGAAATTCATGCACACAAGAATGTACTTTATGAAAAAACTGTGCATGGGGCCAGCGCTGTGGTGTAACGGGTAAAGCAGCTGCCTGCGATGCCAGCATCCCAAATGGGCGCCAGTTTGTATACTAGTTCTCCACTTCTGATCCAGCTCTCTGCTATGGCCTGGGAAAGCAGTACAAGATGGCCCAAGTCTGTGGGTCCCTGTACCCACGTAGGAGACCCAGAAGAAGATCCTGGCTCCTGGCTTCAGATTGGCTCAGCTCTGGCTGTTGCAGCCATTTAGGGAGTGAATCAGCAGATGGAAGACCTCTCTCTCTGTGTGTAACTCTTTCAAATAAATAAATAAAACTTAAAAAAAAAAAAAGAAAAAAAACTATGCATTTTCTGATTTTGCATCAAAATAAACATCTTTTGATTCCATATTTCACAAACTCTTTGAAGTACTCATACTGTAGACTCATTGTTTTCAGAATAGTAATATGTATTCAAACTCTTCTAATAAAGAATTCCTGTAACACACGTGTTAAGGAAAAAAAGTTTTAATATTTTCAAATTTCTATGATTACCTTTTTAACAAATGACTTCTTATTTGTGAGTGTGATTCCGGGTGGCACTCAGGAAATTTACAACCTGCATCCAAGTTCTTAAATTCCTTTCTAAAGCCTGGGGAGAGGGGAGGAGGGAGGCAGTTCGGGGGAGGGAGGAGAAAGGAGGAAAACAAAATTATTGCAATGATCTTATAAAACTTATTCTATGTATATTTATTTATATTTACATAAAATTTTCTATAAACAGGCTATTCTCTTCCAATTGAAAATGAATTCAAGACACAAACCAAAACAACACCTCTTCTTGAATTCTTATGCAAATAAATATTTCTTTCTTTCTTCCATTTATCATCACTTGATAGTGTCAGCAATAACAAAACAATGCTTTTCATGCTTTACTGACACAGTTTTCTGATGGAAAAATTCTGCAACTGAAGGTAAACGACTTAGATTTAAGTTTGGATTACCTACCTATGGGTAACGTTAAGCAAGCCTCTAAATCCTTCACAATCTCAGTTTCCTTATTTATATAATGGGATAATGGTAATCCACTTTACCCACATCACAGGAACATCAAGAGATAAAAAGAGTGAGAGGGTATGGAGATAGTATATAAAAAATAACACCACTACTAATTAGCTACCATTCATTGACTGTAAGATGTATTGACTGTAAGGCTGTAAATATCAACTGTTAAGATGTTGTTACTATTTGTATAATCTTGTTGACAACCTTGTAAAGAAATTACTGCTGAAGAGGTACCTTGGAACACTACAGACAGGACAAAGGCAAGGAGCAGGGACACCACCTGACGCCGTTTTCTAGGAGCCGGTGAAGGCAGATTGCAGCAGCCCCGTCACTGGTGAGATTGTCTGAGGAAGAACTCTGCAGACCACACTGACTTTGAGTCTGGCCTGCAGCGCTGGGGAGAGGGGCATGAGGCGCATGGGTGGCAGGGTGCCCACCTAACCCCTTGAAGGGAGAGCACTCTTTTTTCCCATCCCCGCACAAGGGTGCCCACTACTGGCGACCAGCAGGGAGAAAGGCCATGTTAATGCAAATAGAGGGTATAGCGGCTCATGCACATACATGATTAGGAGATTTTATCAGAGGCATAAATCTGCCAGTGATTTGAATCCGGCCTGCAGAGCCGGCAGGAAGCTGGGCACCCACTTAGGACTGTGAGATGTTCTCCTAACCTAACCTTATCACAGATGCCAAGGCAGGGCACCAACAGGCAACTGGCTCTGGGAACAACTCTGCTCTCTCCATATCTATTGGAGGCCCATGAGGATGAGAGATTCCTCTGCACCCTGTGACTGTGGGAGCCTTGTGTGCTATGACTGTGGGAATTCTGTGACTGCACTATAGAGCGTGTGGTATAACCTGGTCTCTGGGCAATCACTGTATCTGGCTTCAGAGGCTCAGATTTCTCGGAGTGCCTGGGGTAGATCACTACCCGGGAAGGCAGTGGAGGATGGCCCAAGTGCTTGGGCTCTGCACCCACATGGGAGACCAGGAGGAAGCACCTGGCTCCTGTCTTCGGATCGGCACAGCGCACCGGCCGTGGCGGCCACTTGGGGGGTGAACCAATGGAAGGAAGACCTTTCTCTCTCTCTCTCTCTCTCTCACTGTCTAACTCTGCCTGTCAAAAAAAAAAAATCACACTAAAATATGAGAAATGAAGAAGTTAATATGTCAAGTAGAAAATACAGTGGAAAGCCTTAACAACACACTTGGTAAGGCAAAAGAAAAGAATATCAGAGCTGGAAAACATCCTTGGGAATATTTCAGTCAGACAAAAAAATACATCAGAAAACCTAAAAAACAATGTTTGAGATTTATGGGATACTATCAAATGACCAAACATGTCTTAAGTGTTCATGAAGGTGTAGAAACAGAGAATGGACCAGAAGGCCTATTCAGGGAAATAATAGCAGAAAACTTCCCTAATTTGGAGAAATGGACGTCTGAACACATGAAGCACATAGAACTCCCAATAGACACGACCAGAAAAGATCTTCACCATCACACACTGTAGTCAAACTTTGAACAGTAAAACATAAAGAAAAGATTCTAAAATGTGTACAAGAGAAGTGCCAGGTTATCTTCAGAGAATCCCCAATTAGACCAACAGATGATTTCTCATCAGAAACCCTAGAGGCTAGGAAAGAATGGAGAGACATAGTCTAAGTCCTAAAAGAAAAAACTGTCAACCTAGCATACACTGTACACCCAAAAAAGCTCTCATTTATAAATGAAGGTGAAATGAAGACTTTCCAGAACAAACAGAAATTCAAAGAATTTGTCACCTTGTTCAGCCTTTACAAACGATTCTTAAGGGTGTGCTAAACACAGATAATGATGGTCATCATTATGAAAATGTGAAGGCTGAAAATCTCCTAATAAAAGTACAAAAGCAATCCAAAGCAAATAATAGGAATATTTATGGAAAATATAGAATATAAAAAATGTATAGGAATGAAATGGATATTTTGTGATATGATTGTTATTTTTAGCCCTTGTTTATACTCCTGTGGAACTGTGGTCTTCCTACTTTTTTACTTGCTGAATCTAATAGCCTGTGAATATACAGTGGATTAAAATTATGTCTGCAAAAACTACTGAAAGGAAGCGAGGAAAAAATAGGAGGGGAACCTGGGGGAGGGGGGAGTATGATTTTTGGAAATGTACCTATGGAATGCATGAAATCTGTTCTGTTTATATTAATTTTAAAAATTAAAAGAAATTACTGCCATCTCCATTCCACTAAGGAAATAGGCTAAGAAAGGTTAAGTGTTTTACCCAAGGTTACATAGCCAGCAAATGCAGAACTAGATCTATATGGTTAAAGTCCAGGCTCTTAACCATACTGCAGTATTTCCTCCTTCTAAGTGTTATTTAACTTATCCCCAGTTCAGCATGTAAAATGCACCAAACAGAGCCAGCGTTGTGGCACAGTAGGTTAAGTCTCCACATGCAGCATGAGCATCCCATATGGGTGCCAGCTCAAATCCCAGCTGTTCCACTTCCAATCCAGCTCCCTGCTAATGGCCTGGGAAAGCAGCAGAAGATGGCCCAAATGCTTGGGCCCCTGTATCCATGGAGAGACTCACAAGAAGCTCCTGGTTCCTGGCTTCAGATCGACCAAGCTCTAGTGGTTGCAGCCATTTGGGGAAGAACCAGAGGATGGAAGACCTCTTTCTCTGTCTCTCCCTCTCTGTAACTCTGCCTCTCAAATAAATAAATAAATCTTTTTTAAAAGTATCAGTTTATTAATCTTAGTAAGTCTTATGAGAAAAAATTACACTAATTTACAGTGAGATTCTTGTTATTTCAAAGCCCAGTACACTCTAAGACTTCAGATTCTAAATTAATAATTTTGACCCACTTTTTTTTTTTTTTCCTCTAACTAGCTAGGATTAAGGCCTAAAGGCCAATGTGGCATCACACAAAAGACAGCAAGCACTCCTATTTCCCTCTGAACAATAATTCTTAAGTTCACGGCAGGGCCTTTAGCAATATTAACCTTCAGAATAAAACATGATAATTGGATTATCTCTTTACAAAATATTACTTTAAAATAGCTCTAATAAAAGTGAATATTGCCCTCTAATCTTTAAATATTTTATTTATTTGAAAGGCAGAGTGACATTGAGAGAGGGAGAAATAGAGATATCTTCTGTCTGCTGGTTCATCTCCCAAATGGCTACAACCACCAGGCCTAGGCCAGGATTCAGGAACTCCAACCAGGTCTCCCAAGTAGGTAGGATGGGCCCAGGGAACTTGGGCCATCTTCTACCACTCTCCTAGGCACATTAGCAGGGAGCTGGATGGGAAACACAGGACTCACCAGCATTGAGATATGGAACGACAGCACTGCAGGTGGTAGCTTAACCTGATGTGCCACAATGCTGGTCCCTGATCTTACATTTCTAAAAACCATCTACTCATTCAAAATTGAACTGCAATCTACAGTTGATCAGAATACATTAACTATTGCCCTGTTTTTTAAAATCTATATTTCATTATGATCAGGCTCTAAAGGTTAAATCTGGAAGCAGTTTGCAAGAAATATGCCAACTTCTTCATCCATCTATAACTCCAAGTTTGTATTTTTTTCTTCTTTGGGAACATTGAACTTAAAATTATATGCAGGCTAAGAATTAGTTTGATTTAATCATTCTGCATTATATTAAAAATCGTTGGGGCCAACATTGTGTCGTAGCAGGTAAAGCCATTGCTTGTGACATTGGCCGCTGCTTGTGACACTGGCATCCCATACAGGCACCTGTTCAAGTCCTGGCTGCTCCACTTCTGAACCAACTCCCTGCTAATGCACCTGGGAACACAGCGGAGGATGGCCCAAGTGCTTGGGTTCCTGCACCCACATGGGAGACCTGGAAGAAGCTCTTGCCTCCTGGCTTTGGCCTGGTCCACCCATGTCTGTTGCGGCCATTTGGGAAGTGAACCAATGGACGGCAGACTTCTTTCTCTGCTTTTCTCTTTCTCTGTAACTCCGCCTTTCAAATAAATAACAATCTTCTTAAAAAATAAAAAAGTTAAAAATAAAAATCATAACATCACTTTGTATTATAATTTTCAATAAACTGCAAAGTTTTAAAGGAAATGAATACATAATTCTTTATAACTAATTATTTCTCTGAAGGTATTCACACACTGGGCAGCAGGAGGCAGCAGAGGTTCTACACAATGTCTGAAATTTTAGTATCACTATGGCAAGCATTCAACCAAGTGGTTTGAGTTCAGAATTCCAACTAACTTAAAAATAGATGTGTTATTTTTCTCTTCTGCTGACATAAACATCCATGTGTCTGTACCGGGAATTCTGGCTTCAGGTTCTTTGGAAATCTAAGATAGTCCAATTTTAACACTTGGCGCAGAAGAAACCTCAATGTCAAGACAAGAAGCTTTAATTAATGCTATTTTTCTTAATGTATCAAAAGAACCCATAGCATAATATTTAAGAAGTAAAAATATATTTCCTCTGAAAAGATGACCTAGGTTTAAAACAGACTGATACAGCAATAAAGTCAAACTACCAGTCTAGACAATGTAATCTTTACTCTTATGTGTAGTGAGACTTTGTAAGAT